TATTTCAAAGGTAGGAATAATCTCTTTTCTCAATGAATTTTCGAAATCAATAACATTTAATTTAAATTTATACACACGTAGATATTCAGTAACTCATAATTTAACATCCTCATACAAAAGAAGAAATCTGATTTTTGTATGACATTCACGTTTGAATGAAACAATTGTACTATTTCTAAGCTATTGGTTTGCTTAAGAGCAGATAAGCTGTGCTTGTTATAGACCTTTATTTAAGCTCTAAGCAAGAAAATTACTTGCATCTATCTTACTATATCCTTGATTCTAGACTAAGTAAAGAAATTCATTTATCATTTGAAGTTGCAAATCATCATTCTCTTTTTAATAATAAATCTAAAGATTCTAAAGTGAATTTGTTATCATCATCATTACTGCTGTCACATGTATCATCAAATGCGAGATCATTATTATCTGTATTAAGCTTAGCAGCTTTATTTGTTAAAAATATTTCAGTAATTTTTTTAGAACCTGAAGCTGTTTTTTGCCAATATGCCTTTTTGTTATGCAATGTTAACTTTGCATCACTATTATATACTAGCTCACGTGAATTTATAGTTCATACATGTGACTTTGCATTTTTAATCAATTGTTCTAATATATTTAGTTTCTATGCTTACATTTCATCCATAATTTCATCACTATCAAAATGCATTTTCTTACCTTCTATCTAAAAATTACTAAACTATAATTCATCAAATTCATCAAGTTCAACATCTAACAGCTCAAGCACAATTTTTTCAGAGCTTTTTTTTGTTCTCAGCATTTTTTAATAGCTTCTCAAGTCTGTCTAGTACGTTTTTTTACTTTTGGCATTATAATTCTATTAAATTGAGATAGAAAGCGTTAAAAAAATCATTGTAAATGACGTAAAATAACATGAGATTTTGCAATTTTAATTACTATCATATAACTATAGTAATCACATATTATAAATTTAACTAATGAAATTGCAAATTTAATATAGAAATGATTGGTAAAATTTTCAGCATTAAGCTGTTTGCATCATACATTATAAAGATTTTAGTTTTATATCAATATTGATATTATCTGTAATAGTAAGTATATTAATATTTAAATTTTTACTAGATATTTAAATTATAAAAAATTGATTTACCTTTATTAAATCAATAATGATAATAATAAAACTAAAAAATAAAATTTTTTTTTTTTTTTTAATATTACTTAATATTGCTGATTTATACTTTATAAATTATAAAATATCATATTTTAAAAAAAATATATAAATTTATATTTAAAGTAAATATATTAATAAATATAAAGTTGTATTTTCATAATTTATTTGAAATCAAAAAACAGAATTATTAATTGAAAAAAAATATTGATATGCTATCATATTAATTATAAAATAAAGGTTAATTGAGTTAATTAAATTATTTTTTTTTAAAAAAAAAAGTAAAAAATAAGATATATTAAGTATATTCAAATATTAATAATAAAATAATTTATTATACTATTATTAATAAATTATTGAGATACATTTACAGGTATTACAAATAAAATAAATAATTTTTTGACCGTTATGTCAAAATAATGATAACTAATTATTATTATTAAAATCAGGTAATTAAAATTAAAATTTCTACTAATAATAATTTATTACAAATTGATTGGTTTTTTTATCATTAAAAGATTTATTTATTTTTAATATAAATATATAAAAGAAATTCTTTTATAATATAAAAATAACTTTAATTAATAATGATAAGTTAAGTTTTAGGTATAAACAGCATTAAATTTTATTTTTTTACTAATATTAATAGTAGATCTTAACCTTTTCTAATAAATAAAAATAATGAGATTAAACTGCGAAGCAACTTGTTTAAAGATTATGAAGTAAGGTTCTTATCAATAATTAGTATATGGTAGATACTATAGTCAGTATTATCATGAGACATTGATAGGATACTGATAGGATATAGATGGAACAGATAGGATATTTGGGATATAGTGTGAAACAGATTGGGATATATAGCTAAGACATATAGCTAGGACAACAAATCTCTAGAACATCAAAAATGTACATTACTGATTATAGTGACAATGTTTAAAAATTTGACTTTCCATCAGGAATAATACTTTTGAGTGTGCTATACATGTGTAATCTCTGTATCTGATTCATAGTAGTTATTTAACTTCAAAGAATAATGCAGATTAGAAATGATCTTATACATATAAGACAACAAACAAAATGAAAAAACATTACTGGTGATGCTTCAGTTGATCCATCAGTTGCTACTTCATTGTGATTGTCAAAAGAATTATCCCTGCTACTATAAAGTAGAGATGGGGTGAATTGTGAAGGTTAAAAAAAGGTTTTATAATAGAAGATACTTCCTTATCTGAACCTGATAGTTTATCTTCTAATTTGTCATTTTGGAGTTTGTCTCTTATCATTTCCAATAGTAGTTTTAATCTATAATCCAAAAGGTTTATTTTTGTATATATAACAAATTTAGAATCTTAATCTTAGTTAAAGATATATACAGGATTTTGTTTTTTTTCCTTTCAATTGATTTTTCACAATTTTCATAAGATCGTTTTTGTCTCTAAATATTATTACTGATACAACTGATTTGTATTGATAAAATTGTGCTATTAACCTTTATACTTTCATGTTTCATAAAATTGCACGCTTTGTCTAAAAATTATCAATTAGTTCTGTTTTATTAGATTCAGCCTTATAAAAATAAAATAATATATTAATAAGATTTCCTAAAAAAACCTGCAGATTAGTAAGCCATAAGCTAGTTATAGCAGAAACACAATTCATAATCATGCAAAGACACAGTTCTATGAGTAGCTTTAGCTAACAGTGGAGACGCAGTCCATAACTATGCGAAGATGCAGTTCTATAGGTAGCTAGAATAATGGAGAGCGATATACGGAGACGAAAGTAGATGGCTACTAAATGTGGCTACTAATCCAGTCATTATAATTATAGCTATGAAAATTATACTAACCTTATTGTTTTTCGAGTTGTATTGTATTTTTTTTTCCTTTTTTGTGCCTTGTGATTTAATAATTTGTAATTGTTTTTGAAAACTTCTCGTTAGAATCACCTTGTTTAAACCTAAATAGTTATCTTCTCATGCTTTATAGTACTGAATAGTAACTAAGCTTATATTCAAGAAATATTCAAATTCAGATTCACTGATAGATAACATTGTAATGAAAAAGAAGATATGTACAGTACAGTAGTTCTTCAGTATTATACAGAAATTGTAAGTAAAACTGCTCGTTAATTTTATCTATAAAAATTTCAAGTTATTTTAAATAATTTTTTTTTATTAAGTGCAGTAGTCTCGCATGATCTTTATTAATATATGGGCATGCTGCAACAAAATCAGACAAAGTGAATATTGGTATTACCAAGAATTTCAGGAATAAAAATTTAGTCATTTGTAATGTAATTATAATTAACAGTTTTATAATATCCCATTTGTTATCTTAAGTGATATATAGAATTATTCCTATATAAAAATAATAATATGAAACTCATTTACATCAGATCTACTATGAAAGCCAAGAATTATAGTAAATCAGAAGTTTTTTGAAAAAAGAACAAGGTGAAAAAATTGCTTCTTACATTTTCAAAATAAATAATACTCATACATTTGAAGCTTATCTAAGAAAAGAAAGAATTACTTATAAAATTTACCAAGAAGAAAAAAAGATAATAAAAATTAAGAAAAGAAAGCAGAATGAAGGTATATTATTACTTAAAAAAAAAGCAGAAATTCTTAGAAGGAAAATAATTTTATTATTATAATATTGATTTATTTTTTTTTACTACAAAGAAAATTCTCCTTTATATAAAATGTAATTAATAATTATTATATTGTATTGCTTATCAGTAAAAAATGTTGTTTGAATTTTTGAACAAAAAATTCTACTACATTCAAGGATATGTTTTATAAGTCTTTATTTTTCTCTAATTGACATTAAAACAAGGTAAATAATCCCACCTTGTATTAGAACATTATAAAGGCATTACCAATTCACTTAATTTTCAAGTAAAAAAATTCAAATAACAAATCCTTCTATTAAACAATTTTATTTTGGTTTTAAAAAAAAAACAAATAATCAATAAATATTATATAATTTTCATCTATAATAACATTTTAAAAAAAATGCTTACATTCAATAATGAACTTTTTTGTGAATTATTAATTGGACTTCTTCTTGGTTTCTTGATTCATAATAAAACTTACCAAAATCAACTCCATACTATAAATCAAAAAATTGATCAAATAATCGATAAAACAGAACCAAGAAGGAAACAATTTAAAAATAAAACAAACTAACTTACTAGTGATAAACAATATTCACAAAAAATAGAAAATCTATGGAAGGATTTCAAACAACTATTTGACAAAAATACTGGGTTGAATCCCAATTTTTCATTTAATGAAATGGTCATTGAAATTCGTCAATTACTAGAATATGAAAAAGGAGTTGCTGCTTTCACAATAAAAAACTTCTATCAACAAAAAATTAATCCTAGAAGTAAAACGATAGAAGCAATTCAGGAATGGGTCAACAAAAAAAAGAAGAAAGAAGTGGAAAGTGAAGATTATGAAGAAGAGAATAAAAATAATGAAGATACAAATATTAATAATAATATTATTGATAATAGTAATAATAGCAGTAGTAATAGTAAAAGTTAAATTTTTGTCAGAGTGTCCAAAGAATAGGTAATACTTATAAATGGCTTTAGATCTGAGTATTTTCCTTCTATGCAAGTGCTCTGATAATTCTTTAATTTATATTATTTATGTATTTTTTTATTATTAGTTGAATTAAAATAAAAATAATTTTCTTGTCATTTTTTTTAATTGCAAGTTATGTACCCACTAATTTATTATTGATCCAAATTATTTATAGAAACAATTAATTGTAACAATTATGATTTAAATCAATAAAAAAAAAATTCATTTTTAAACTTTTTTAATTTTTTAAAAATGTTAACTTTCGAAAGAGTCGACCAAGAATCAGAACGAAAAAACACTAGATTAGATGAGGCAGTAGAGAAGTTGAAGAAATGGGAAGAGGGGAAGTATCAAGGAAAGAAATTAAATGAGTTGGAAGATGATTTAATAAAGGGAACTTGAGTGAAAAACAGGAAAAGATTGTAGTGGAGAACAGAAACAGACTGTTGGAAGAGAAGAAGAGGTTGGTGAAAGATGTGAAAGATTCGAAGAAGCAGGTAGTAAAATTGCAGGATGCGTTGGTGGCATTCGGTGGAAGGGAAGGTAATGAACAAATTGCATAAAAAAATTATTCCATTTTGTTTATTTATTTGTTTGTTTGGTATATTGTATACAACTTTAACTAATTTACCCACCTACAATAAATCATCGGAAATTGATTATATAATATACCGATCAAAAAAAATTGGATATCGTTAAACTTTGATTTTATAAAAATATTATTATTTATTTGTACTATAAAAAAAATAAAAAAAAATAAAATAATATTCAATTTATTATTTAATTTAAATTCAAAAATTTAAATGCTAATATTTAATGTGTCCACCTTTAACTTTAATAATATCTTTAATACGTTTAGGCATACTTAAAATTAAACGATGTAATAATTCTATATTTAAATTTGCCCATTCTTCTTGCGCAACTCTAATTAATTCTTGCTTGAATTTAGGCAAAGGTTTCCTTTTTCGTATTTGACGATCTAAATAATCTCACAAGCATTCAATAGGGTTTAGATTTGGACTTTGCGTCACCCAATCTAATACTGAAATTCCATGATATTCCATCTACTAAACTGTATATGAAGAAGTATAGCATGGAGCCCGGTCTTGTTGAAATATCATATTTGGATTATTACGAATTCATAGTATTAAATGATTTACAAGAACATTGACATATATATCAGAGTTTATATTTTCATTGATAACTACTAATGGTCCAACTCTATACCAGCTAAAACAGCCCTAAAACATCACTGACCCACCACCAAACTTTAATGTAGATTGAATGCAATTTTTAATATAGGCTTCACTAACTCTGCGTCATATTCTTGCATAACCATCTGACTTAAAAAGTGCAAATCTAGATTCATCAGACCATACAATATTTTTCTATTCCTCTTGCCAATTACATTTTATTTTACACCAGTTTAATCTATCAATTTGATGTTTTTGAATTAATAAAGGTTTTTTTCTTGAAATACAGTTTTTAAATTTTATTTTATATAAATATTTTCGAATAGTATTAGGATGGTAATTAGTAGAAAGATCATTATTTAACTGACTTATAATTTTACCAAGAGAAGCAAATCCATCTTTATAAATAATACTTTGTAAAAAACGTTTTCCGCAATTAGATAATGTTTTTGATTGACCTAAACATTTATTAGAATGTGAAGAACTAGTTTTTTTATAATGATTAATAGTATCGTATACAGTTGAAGAGAGAATATTAAAATTAGAAGAAATTTTTAATCCATTAGTGCCAGTAAGGTAAGCACCAATTATTCGTTCTCATTTTAGGCATTTTTGTGACTAGAAAAATTAAAAAAAAAGGCTAATATTTATTTGTAATACTTATAATTGTGTCTATATCTAAAAAGAGAACAATAACGGCTCTTAAAAATTTTTTAATTAATCACGTAACAATCATGGCGATCAATTTCTGATGATTTAATGTAGGGTGAATATACCTCTTTGTTTTTATCCATTTACTGCTTTCTATTTGATATTACAGAAGGTATTGAGAAAAATAAAGGTAAATATTATTTGTGTATATTTAACAATTTCCCATCATTTATTATTTACATATCTTAATTTTGTTTTCTTATTGCTTGTTGTCTTCTAGGAATAAAATGTAAAGTTAAAGGTAAATTTTCTTATTTACCCTTTGAAATTATATTGATGTTTTCTTTTACAGTATTTTAATAATCTGTTTAAAAATAGGAGAAGATACATGAAATCAAGCGAAAGCCTAAAAAACAAAGATAGTAAGTATGAAACCACCATCAACTTATTGTAAAATAAATGAATATGATCCTGATGTAATGTGTAATTACTGACCAAATAGTTCAAACATTCCAATATCTATATACAATCGCATATTTGAAAATTTCAAAGACAGACTTTCTGCAAAAGAAATTAATATTGGAAATTATAAAATAGGTGGAGAGGATAGAGTAATTGAATATCTTGAACATTTGGCAAAAGTTTATTCTAAAGAAGATGAAAGAAAAAAAATTTTTCAAGACATGATGTGTGACCTTCTTGGATATGAGATGCAACCACTTTCAGTTACAGGTAATTGTATTGCAGATAGTGCAATTTTATACACTGTTGAAGGGGTTAATGTGCTTTTTTGATATTAGAAGCAAAAAATGAACTTGGAATGAGAGGAGGTGATCCACACAGACAAGCTTGTGGCTCTTATGGAAAATATATTCCAATAGTGTCAGACTGTGAGAAATATCTTAATCCTTATTTCCTTTTGCATCTTGCTGGACTATGGCTTGGAATCTCTAGTGCTGTTTTCAGAAAAGAAATTATAATTGAGTCTCTTACTTCCATGATACCTTTGGTACCTATTCTATGCTGTCAAGATCATCTTATAAATATTCTTGTCATATTTGATGCATTAAAAGTTGGGTTAGCTGAATTAAAAACTTATTATGATTCAGTACAACCAGACCAATTGAATATTGAATGACAGTCTCATTTTCCTTATTCAAATTCATTCAAAAGTCATGACAATCAAGATTATCAGTTTATTTATAAAAAGCAATTGCATGAATCAAAACTTCTTTTTCTAATAGAGGAGATACAAAAAGATAATATAGAAGATAAGACATCTAAATAGTGGGTTATCAAATTTGTACAAAATAATTATGATCAAGAGGTTCATGAATATTGTTATCAAAAAAAATTGCATCAAGACTATTTGCTGTTAAAGATCTATATGATAATTAGAAGATGATTGTGATGGAATACTTACCATCTGACAAATTTGAAAATCTTGATTCTTATATTCTTGATTTGAAACATAATGAAAAGGATAAAAAAGAAAAGATTATGAAAAAGGTTGTGGATCGTTGAAACATTACATCAAGAAAACTATGTGTATGGGGATTTACGCCTTGTTAACATGATAATTTTTACAACAGACTTAGGTAAATTTGAATTAAAAATCGTTGATTTTGATTGGTCTGTGAAGGATTCTAGTGTAAAGTAAGTGTTTTCTGAATGACCAAAATCTACTACATGTATATTTATTTCTAAAAAATATCAATTAATCCAATAAATATCCATTGTTGATTAATTCTGAAGTACTATGGCATAAAGATGTGATTGGTAAAGCACTAATTAAAAAAGAGCATGATATCTGTCTTTTAAAAAATAGTTTTAAATCTATTGGTTTTGAATTGATTTTTTAGAATTGGATATATTGAGATTTAATAATAATACATTTATAGTTATTGAGGAGATACATTATATTAACATATATTGTTAACATATTTATTATAAAACAGTTTTTGATTTTTGACATCATATTTATCTTTTAAATCAAAATAATGTTTCTATACTTTGTATTTTGTTAGGGTATTTTTGAGATTAAAAAAAAACAGTTATAATGTTGAGGAAATGTTTATTGTATAAAGAATCTTTGTCAATTTTAAAATAAAATACATGTTTTTGTTGTTAATAATATTTATGACTAATCAATTTCTGAGTTTGATTTACAAATGTTTTGATTACATAATCTATCAACCTAGAGTTATATTTTTAAAATATTAAAGAAAAAATTGCAAAGTAAACATAAAATTATATATATAGAGATAAGTGTATATGAAAAGTAATAATAAGTATAATGATTCTAATGAATATGAAAAAGCAATTGATTTTTTAGAAAAGGGTTGTAAATGTGGTTGCTCTTCAAGAATTCTTAAGAAACAATTTGCAGAATTAAGAGAATCCTTTCAAGCTCTTTTTAAGTCTGAATAAAACATATTTTTAACGGCTTAACTTAAGACAATAGATGGTGGATCAATAAGCACTAGCAGATATCTTAAAAAGAAAACTAGATCTAATAAAAGAACTTTCTATCATTAGGATCATAATACACTTCTTTGTCAAGAAACTTATCTCAATATATTAGGAATTGTCAGGACTTATTTTGAAAACATTAGAAATCATCTGATAAACAATGGTCTTTTACCAAGAATTCATGGTAATATTAAAAGAATGCCTCAATAAAAAACTAAAATAATGATTGATAAAAATGTTGCAGAAGTAGTAAAGAATTTTTTAGAAAATTATGTAGAAGTTCATGGATTATCAAGTCTAAGAAGAAGTATCAATAGAATAACTCAATCAATTACATTCTTACTAGTTAAAATGAGTTATAAATCAGTATATAGAGATTTTTTAGCTGGTTCATCACAAAGTATATCAAAGCATTTATCAAGCATTTGCTAATTACTTTAAAACTGTTTATTTTAAATACTATTAGCTATATCTTAACAGACCTTATATTTAGAGTTCCAAACGAGTCAGGTCGGGTTGAGTAATTGACTTGACCTGACCCGTCATATTTTTTTTCAGGTTGGATAAAAAGCTATCTGATATATATATACTTGACCTAATCTGATCCGCAGGTCAAATATTTTGGCGGATCAGGTTGGATATCTGATCCGACCCACGGATAAAATCTTTATTTCAGGTCAGATCGGGTATCCGACCTGACCTAACCTGAAGGTCAAAAAAATAATTGCTCGTTCAGCTGAAACTATAAATCCCCAAAACTCCAGAACTCTAAAATTAATTTCGGTAGTTTCAGAGATAACATTTTAACCATAACCCGAAACATGTTTCGGAGTTTTAGAGATTTATTAATAGTTTTGGAATTACAAAGGCAAATTAATAATTAGTTTTAGCAGTCAATTTTGATTGGCTATTTTAAAATCATGATTTTTCAGGAAATATGATATAATTATTTAATAATAAAAATGATGTCATTTGAGGTCATTTGTTTTCATTTGTTATCATTTAAAATCATTTTTTATTTTATTTTTTTTACTTGTCAAAAAATGAGAAAATCCTTTAAAACACTTTATTTTAAAAAAGTAAACCTTTTCTTTCAAAAACTTGTATGAATTGCTAATCCATAAACTTTAAAAATCAATTAAAATGGATTCATCTCTAAACTGATCAATCCAGGTTTCCGATACCTACAAAAAGAGAAAAAGGTAAGTAATTATTTAATTTTTTTAATTAATTAAAAATAAACTAATATTTATCTTTCCTCTATAAGACATGCTTTGATCCGATCGATCCAAGGCTTCCGGCACTTACAAAAAGGATAAAGGTAAGTATTTTCTAATTTATTTAATTAAAAAAAATATATATTAATTATTTTACCTTTTCTT